TCCTAATCCATTAATTTGTATTATTCTATTCTAGTTGCATCTAGTAGATATGTGACACAATATCTTTTGTATTAAATTTAGCAATGTGCGTTTCATGAGTATATGAAACCAAGGCAGAGCTGCTTTCCACAATACATACGGAGCAAAAGGCACAATTTGATTCATGCAAAAGCAATGTATCCCAGAATTACTGAGCCATCAGATTTCACAGTGAAAAGTACTAATCAAAGAAAACAATAATGAAGAAGCCCTATGACAAACATTGGTGGTTTATAAATATTTGAATTAATGCTTTTTTTTTTCATCTAGGTTAAGATTAGGCTTTTTGACGGGCCCCAAGCCTCTTATTGACAGAATTGTTCTACATCTGCAAGTTTCAACAATACACACCAGCACTTTCACACAGGCAAGTGATTTGGACCTTTTACAAACTAACGGTTTGATCCTGCCTTGGAAACAGCTGGGCATCCCAATACTGTCCAGAAACATGTAAATAAGCTTGCTCAGCCTGCTCAGTATGCTTTTCTAGAACCTGTGCATTTACAATCTGGGTATCATGCTCTGTTTAGTATATTGGGCATTATGTAGACAGTTTTGAACATAGAGTGGGTGAACACGAGGCACAGAATTGTATAGAATCACTGCAGGAACTCTCAGAGAAGTCTGAAGGTTTTCAAGACTGAGCTCTGCATCCTTGGACGTTTTCAAAACCTGACTAGACAAAGCTTTAGCTGGGATGATCTAGTTGGGAATGATACTGCTTTGAGCAGGGGTTGGACTAAATGACCTCCTGAGCTCCCTTCCAACCCTAATTTTCTATGACTCTATGATTCAGGCTATGGTATTAACTGCCATCTCTCAGATCCTAGGATTGGCACTTCTTCACAAATGGGAGCAAAAGGGCTTGCTGGAGCATACAGACAGGTAATACTTTACTGTAGACTTTGTTTCTTTTCATTTTGAACCTAAACTGTCCACAAGCTTTCCTATGTTACCATGGACCTCAAACAAGTCACTTGAACACCTATATAGCAGTTACCTCATACATAAAAAGGGATACTATTGGTCACTATACTTTTGAAATCCATGGGGAAAATGCTCTCTAAGAGACAAGGTTTGATGTTAATAAATTCTGTATTTACTTCCCCAAACTATATTACATCTCAGCGAACGACTGAGACCAATCCGCAAAAGGAAGGAAATTCAGAATTTTATCTGACTAACCCTTAATACCTGTTCCTGATACATTGCACCTTTCTTTCCAAGAGTCACTTTTTAAGCAAAAAAATGTTGCTAGCAGAAGACAATACTGTGCTTTTTTGGGTCTACTCTAATTCCAGCTGAAGGAAAGAACTACACTGGTTTCAATACATCTGGGATGTGCTTCTGTACCTATAACAGAAAGCTGTTCCCTTATACCAAAGCTATGTTACTACAGGCTGGTGCTCTGTTTACTGTAAATACATCTGCCATAGTTATTTTTTCACTGTAGAAAATCCATTTTTTAAAACATCTCTCTCTCTATGGTTTTCATATTACCTTTATGCCATTCCATTTCTCACCCTATTTTTCCACTGAGCTGTTTCTCTCTCTAATATCAGTCTCTGCCCTACATACAATGGGTAATAAATAATGCCCAAGTCAAAGTTTCAAACTGAATGACTGAGAGGCTGCAGAGGTGGGCATTACAAGTTCTCCATCCCATTTTGGTTAGTTTATTTTTATTTTTTTTTAAAAACCCTACATTAAAAATTGAAAAGGAAAAATGACACTGCTAAGTTGACTTATCAAGAGTAGCACTTAACATTGATTTCCAATGAAATGGTGACAGGGCATGACGTACAGAATAGTATTTAATGATAACTGTGTGATTGACTCATACCCCACTGCTCTTTAAAATTACTTGTATTGATTTTTTGCTTCCAGAGTGGTGGAATTCTACAGGGCCCAGCAAAATACAATGCTTGCAGCAGCAGACAAATGGTTAAAAGGTCAGTGAATCAATATACACCCATAAGCCTCTACTTAAATGGTGCTCCTAGATACGCAGATAACCAAAGGACAGTGCAGATTAAGGGACTAAATATTATTATGGTTTCAGAGAGGTTTTTTTTCCCCTCAAAAAGCTTCTCTGCATGTGGAAGCTGAATCACTTTCTGGGTGAAAAGCTGCATGGATAAGGTTAATCTAAAGAAACTTTTTTGTGTGCTCTGAACTGGTTTAATTTGTCTTGCATCAGATTAGCTCATCCCAAATAGATAACTGTGGGGATAACAAGGATGAGGAGGAAACTGTTTTATAAGAAAATTCTTCTGGAACAAAAGTGTGATATATGTATGATAACTTGTATGATTTGGCCTGCTTTTTTAGCCATTCACTCACCTATCTTTCATGACTAGTCATACTCCTGGTTTCAGCTTGTGCTACTTAAAGAGGTACCCTCTTTCTGACACATGCCAAGTTGAGGAAGGAGTTTGACAGGTGAACAAAAAAAGAGTGGGCCAAAGCCTCCAAATTAAGGGGAGGTTCACCTCCAGAGACATGCCCACATTTGCATGCAGCAATAAGCAATATGACTGTAAAGATTATCTTTTGCATATGTGCAAAATGCCTTTTTCTAAGATGAACTTCAGGCATAGTTGTGCTGCACACACCAGGCAATACAATGCGGTATGGAGGACTGTATCAAATTCCCAGGGATAGCAAAAGAAAAGAAAGCTTGATAACTGGTAAATTAAGACCTATCAAAAGGAAGGAAGGTAATTATAACTTGTAGTGTGTAGAAAGCATGGGCGACTGGTGCCTCCTGAGTCGGGGGGGAGGGGCACTCCCCCCCCCCCCGACTGGACAGTCAGCAACTGGGGGCAGTCCCTCACGGCCAATCCTGCCAACTGAGGGAGGAAAGGAGTCCCCCTGCAGTGACCAATCCTGCCAACCCATAACTGGCAGCAACGCACCGCTGGCACTTCCAGGTGTGCCTCTAGCACTTCCAGGTCAATGGGATCAGCCACAGGGTGAACGCTTCTTCTGGTGCACTTCCCAGCCAGTGCTCTCAGGGGGGCACCAGCGCTCTCACCTTCCCTGCCATCCAGGAACGCTGGCCGACAGGGGGTGCACTAGCGCTCTCAGGGGGTGCATGTGTACCCCCTACACATCGTCACTACAAAGAATTTCAGGAATCAGCTAGATTATGGTGTGTCATAAAATCAACACTGATGTTCAGCCTTTAGATCCTGGTGTCCAGACAGCTTAGGAATTTTTGTCCCCAAACTCACCTTTTAAAGGTATTTGTTGCCTTGGGCATGAGAACAGCAAGGTAAGAAAGGGAGTTGTGGTTCTGTGAAAAGATGTGCTCCTACTAGTATATGTGTGTTTTTGTCCTTTATGTTATTTTTTGTGAGAGTCCATTCTGGAGTGTAGTTCCTGTTTCGTTTCACTCATGTAGTTACCATAAGGGTATTTGGTGCATTGAATATTTCACATTTTGAGAAAGGTATTATAGGATTTATGGAGCCTGATGGATTTCTTGCAGTAGCAGTGGAGATGTGTCAACAGGTTAATCATCTATTGTTAAGGCAAAGTTGTGTCCCATTTGATGTCTGTTGAACAGTGGGAAGTTTGCTTCTGATGATGAGTTGGGCAAATACTTTAAGCATTGCTGCTATCTGGCAATCCAAGAACAGGGAACAGTCTAATAGGACCCTAAGACTGTGAATGACCCTGGAAGTCAGTTGATGATTGTATATTGGCAAATTCTCAGATATGTCTTCCCTTCCAACAAAGCCATCTTATGTGGACAGAACATACCACATAAACTGCATAGCTTTTATTATCCAAATTCCCATCTGTGACATACACTTGATGAGCATGGCCACCAGTCCATTTGATCCAGTCAGAATGAGACAAACCTGAATGTCATCAGATTACTAACAGCTAGAAGCTCACAATACCTCAGTCTCCTGTAGTAACTATTCACATGCATAGAACAAGAGAGGTTTGTTCATCTTATTAGTTGTTTTGGTATATGCTGCTTATTTGATATTTAGTATGTGTAAACAAGTACATCTGAAGCCCAATGTCACTAGGGACCAGCTGGTTCGACTTTCAGGCTACTGACGGTTCTGTGCACCAGAATTAACAGCTTCAGTTTCACTTTCATCGTAAGTAGCAAAGTAAAGTTACCCAATCGCTGTGCTGTTATAATTGAACTAATCATTGGTGAATCCATCATCACCTTCAGGGACCAGCTGAATCTAAACTTTTACCACCAAAGCTAACCACTCCCATTAACTTGTATCTGAATTCTTTTTCATTAATGTATTGAGTGGTTTCTTTTCCTTTCGAGAAAAAAGCCTCATCTTCCTGGTACAATCAAGAATTTAGATCTATGCAAAATCCAGTCCCATTTAAGCTGCGCAGTCTGATCCCAACAAAAGGCAGGGAACAGTGATTGCTTGAAAGCTGAGCTTTTCATTGTAAATCAGTGCCATAAAAGGGATGACACATACAAGCCTACTGGTGAAATCCTGACCCCAGTGAAATCATTTTCCATTTCAGTGTTTTCATTATAAATGCAAAATATGCTTTAATTCAAAATCTATTTTTTTTTCTCTAGATTTGGCAGATTGGTATGTCCCTACAGCTGGAATGTTTCTATGGATTACAATTAAGGGCATTTCTGATACACACCAGTTGGTCATGGAAAAAGCCTTAGAGAAAGGGGTAGGGAAAATTATACTACTGGGAAACACTAATACAGTTTAAGGTTTGATTTGGAATAGAACCATGTATACCATTCTGCTTGTTTCTTATTAAATCAGTTGTGACTCATATTAGGTTTTCTTCCTGGGTCATTAAGGAATAAATTCAGTAACTAGGGTGGTGACATCACATTAATAATATCAGTTGGATTTTACCCATTATGCAAATGCTTAACATTTTATTTCCTATGCACATTTTTAATATAACCTAATCATTGTAATAAACTTAATAATTTTAAAACTGCAAATAGCACTAGATGACATAGACAAAATGGTTATGAAAAAGAATCACACTTCAAATAGATAAATGTCCTACGCCCCAGTCCTATGGCAATGTTGGCTTGGGTAAATCTGGGTGACACTATTCCACAATGTCTTCACAGGGGATAGAAAATAGTATAAGTGCTAGTGTCTGCCATCTGGTTCTTAGGATAGGACACTAAAATATTTCAATAGGGAGAAAGTATAGGCAGTTAGACATAGCACAAGGATAAAAGGCAGCCTTTAGAAGCATTTAGTGGAAGGCTTTGGAGCTCATGTACTCTATGAAGTTTTCATAGCAATTGGTACATCAGAGAAGAGTTCCTGTCCTCATTAAAGTCCATGGCAATTTTCCTATTTGACATCAGTGAAGCCAGACTTTCAGCAGAAATGTGTGTGTAGAGCATAAATGCTAAATTTCATAGGGAACAGTGTGTAACAGGGGGTCAGCTCAGGTCCGGTCACTACATCAGCCTGCCCCACCTGTCTAGGGCGGTCTGCCCTGCTTTGTCTGCCACACCTTGATGTATCAAAGTAGATGGAAAAATGCAGGAGGCTGCCCATGTAATTGCCCTAATGCCAAGGGTGAAATACACAGCTCCGAACCTTCCCTTATACCGTGTCCCATGCCTCACAGAAGGCATCCAAATCCACTACTACTCCCCAGCCCCATTACTGGGCTGCACTCGGCCTCTGGCCCAAACTTAACATCAGGCATCTTCAGACCTACCTTGGCCACATGCCCCATCACTGGGGCCTCTAACCTGCCCCATCACTGGGCTGCTGGGCCTTACACCCCTTGGGCCTCAGACCTCACTGTGGGCCTTGGCCCGTCTCAGTCCCCTTCTATCAGCCTGGACCCTGCCTGGGGCCCCACTCAGTGGGCCTGGGCCTTGTGCTTTTCTGTCAGGGTGTGCTCCCCCAGCCTTTCCCCTCCACGGGGCCACCCACATGGCAGCAGAGGAGGAGGCTTTCCAGCATCTCATACTTGCCTTTCACTAGGGAGGCACAAAAGTGTAGCATTTCCTGGAGACTGTCCCACCACACCATCCAACCCCAGCAGGGTGCAGTTTCCAATTATGCCCCAGTACCAGGAACCTCCTTCATCCCCAAAGTTCCTACCCTTGACCTCCAGATATTCTAGGAGCGTACTCCTCTGGCCAGGCAATGTCACTCCAGTTACATCCCTCCAGCAGCTACCAGGTCTCCTTTCAGGGCCTGGTCTTATATCTAGGCTCCTCAGCATCTCCACCAATCAAGCAGCCTCCTGACCACCATGTGACTGCCTGATTGGGTCTGCTCCCACCTGCAAGCTGTTCTGCATCCTGCTCAAACCCTTAAAGTGGCAAGCACAACCTGTGCCCTGCTACGCAGTGACCAAATTAGTCTGTTGATAATTAGGAAAAAAATACAGGATGTTTAATAAATGCTTTTTTCTTAATAAATATCTGACTACTTGATATAGGGCAAAGAGATTATGCAAAGAGAGGAAACCAGCAAAATGATGTAAAATGTTAAGCGTCCTGAAATCCAAGAAGTGAATAGCCAATTACTCTGCTTTGCTGTAATAAGTCTCAACTATCTAGAGTGGGGCTTTGTACTGAAATGCAGCATCCTAGCTGCTGTTTTAATTTTTGTCCAGGGCTAAGCCACATACAATCCTTGTCACAATCAATGAGGATCACCTTACAATCACAAAGATGAAACAACTAGCAGAAAGGGCAGGCCTGAGCACACCCCACCCACTCAAGTAAACTGACATGCTCCAAAGCCAGAAGTTGGCCAATGAGGCTGTTCCAAATTTATCCCCAATGTCTGCTCTCAAGCCCTCACTTTCTTGAGAGAAGGAACTAGGGGCGAGTCTGGAGTAGCTTCACATATAAACTTCTGGCTCTGAAGAGGATCAGCAGATTTGGGTGGATGGGGCATGTGCATGGTACTCAGCTTCCCCAAGATCAGTCTTTGTCCCAATATAGACCCAACATAAGATATTGCCCAGCCTACTCCAGTATTGTATTATCATAGATAATTCGTATGTTAATTCAGGTAGTCCTTAAACAGCAAGACTTTAACTTGCACCAAATACAAGTCAAATTGATCAGGGCTGTAAGTAGCAACGTAAGTTACATTTAAGAAGCTGGTAAAAATGGGTGGAATTATTTATGCGAAATTCTGCAGGGGTCAAATTCAGCTCCCAGAACAAATGGGTACTGCCTTCATGGAAGTCAAAAGAAATTATAGGTAATGTAATATTGTAGCCATTATGGTCCATGAAAAATGAAAGACAAATATTTTTGTGAGTGATTTATTTTATTGGACCAACTGAATAGTCGGGAGGGACAAAGCTTTTGGGTACCTCTGTACTGAACCTGAGTTAAATTTGAATACAGAAATGTTGTACATATAAGTGAAAGTACAGATCTGAGTTCCTTTATCTTAGAACTAACTAAATTTGCTCTGAGCATTATGCCTACCCCCTTCCTCCCTGACATACAACCTATTCAAACTGAATTCCAAATTAGTACAAACAGGAGTTAAGCAGAAGATGCCATTAACCAATTTCAGCCATTTTCCAATCAAATGCCACATGACATGCCACCACTGGTTTGTGTCCCTACTGGATTTGGCTCAAAAATATCCATGAAAATTGCTCTTGTTGACTGCAGAATGACCTTGGCCTTGATTTTACTCAACAAAGTGGTAAAGTGAAACAGTTCTGCAGTTAGTATGAGTCAGGTCATAAGAACATAAGAATTATCATTTGCTGGATCCATCTTTCCTACTAGCCTGTGTCTCACAGTGGCAGAGAGCAGATGCTGAAAGGGAGAGTGAACTGGATATGCCCAGGGTTTTTTCTACCATTCTTCTCTCACTTGCAGCCTCCAGCCTTTAATCAACTATATCCCAAAAGGGAAAAACATTATTTGAGCATCAACTTTAAGAGGAGGTTAGATGAACACCTTGCTGGGGTAGTTTGACCCCAGTAATCTTTCCTGCCATGGCAGGAGGTTGGACTAGATGATCTACTCAGGTCCCTTCCGACCCTAGAAACTATGAAACTGCATCTGAAATGGAATACTGAAATGATCACATTTACATTCTAAAAATGTCAATGCACTTGACATACTAAAGTAGGTAATCTCTCTCTTAGATATGTCTGGTTCCTGGAGGAGGATTCAACACGGACAGTTCAGAGCCTAGTCCTTATGTCAGAGCTTCCTTCTCTTTTGCTTCTCCAATCCAAATTGACCAGGTGAGAGCAAACTGCCCTCCACTCCACCTTTGAAATATTTTACTACTTCTGTTTTCATGTGAATTTGACATTTGCACTTAGACTAACATGGGACTTACTGACCTTTCTTATATTTCTGCTAATTTTTTAATGGAAAATGATCACCCAAATTCCAATTTTAAAAGCTGACTATTTATCAGTCCCCTTCGGAATCAGGATTACAACTGAAGTGCAAACTGGGCGCATCTACACGAGACACTACATCACCATAATGTAGCAATGGTGGGTATTAACCATGATGCTGCCACTACTACACAGTAGCTCGTTGCTACTGTGCAGTAGGGCTGGAAACAACCTGTGAGCCACTGGGACTGTGCAGTCATTTAGTACTTGCTTTAGCACAAACTTGGCACATCTATATGAGATGCTATGTTGCCGTACCTATGAGCTACAGCAACAGAGCGTTGGTGGGCACTAACCATGATGCCACCACCATTGGTGGGTACTGTGCAGTTGTTTAGTACTTACTTTAACACAAACTGGGAGGATCTACATGAGACACTACAGTAACATAGCGTTGGCAAGCACTAACTGTGATGCCTCTGCTACCGCACAGCAGCAACTAGCTACTGCACAGTACATTTAGCAAGTACTAAATGACTGCTGTACCCACTGGTACTGCACAGTCCCAGTGGCACATGGGCCGTTTCTGACCCTGCACACTAGCTCACTGCTACTGCGCAGTACCAGCAGTGGCACGGTTAGAAGCTGTGCAGAAGTAAGAAGGTGTGTATTGTATAGATACGCCCTAGTTGTGTCTTCCAAGTTCGCAAAGTGTTTTTTTCCATAGGCCATTGAAATAAACACAGGCCTCACAAATCCCAGCATAGTGCTTAAAATATAACTTCACTTTCTAGCCATTACCAGTCGCGCACAATGAGGAGAAATTTTATATCAGTCTTCACATACAAAAAAGGACCATTATAAAGAGGATGGTATTTAATTATTCTTTTTGTCCACTGGTGATAGGACAAGAAGTAGTGCAGTTGGTCTCAACATTTTTGATCCCAAAGCACTCCTCAATTAATTCAAATCCCCCCTCCATAACTTTTGTGAATTGTGTGGCACCCAATTTGAAAAACTAATTTGTATATTAGCACACTCACCTCCTCATAGGGAAATCATGCCATGGGTTTGAGGAGATCTGACAGGCATGGACAAGCCTGAGGCTGCAATTATCTGCTTATTTCCTCACACCTCCTAGCACCCTTCAAAAGAGTCTGGTGGCACCCCAGGTTGCTGTGGTACTCTGGTTGAGAATCACTGTAGTAATGGGCTTAAATTGCAAGAAAGGAGATTTAAGTTAGGTATTAGGGATATTGGGTGCCTGTACACAAGCATGGAGGCTGCTTCGACATACTGTGATTACAGCATGTCACTGCTGAAGTGTGGCAATTATCGTACTCCAGCAGCCTCCCATATCTCATGTATCAGCATCTCTGTGCTTCAAAACGGCAGCAGGACCACATGAACTAAAGCTCATCAAACAAGCTTTAGTTCAAATGCTCCCACTGCCATTTTGAAGTGCAGGGACACTGATACACAAGATGCTGCAGTGCTTTAATTAGAGCAGCTCTCGGAGCCACTCTAATTAAAGCACTGGCCCCCCACCCCCGGAGCAAGTCCCCACTATGTTTAACTGTAAGAGTAGTTAAGTACTGAATGGGGTTCTTGAATCTCTGCCTGGGGCAGTTTACACAAAGATAGTCATGCTTGATCAGGGAGTTTAACATGATATTGTCTCAAAGTCCCTTCCAGCCCTATTTTCTCTGATTCTAAGGCCCTCTCTACCCTTAAAGGTATTACACAATTTCCTGGTTAACTGCACAATTAACTGAAACCAACTGCATGTGCAAAGTAGCTATCACACAATAAAAAGCCCCAACTAACTATAAAGTTAGACCTCACAAATGTGTACTAACTTTACAGCTGGTTGTTATCCAACTTTAATTTGCACATGTAGCAGGGTCTACCTGTGCCTGACCAGGCTCCCAGGCACAGGGGTGTGGTGCACCATGCCCCGCCAGGACTGGGGGTCCCACAACGGTGGAAATTCTCAGTCCCAGCAGCTGCTAGCTCTGGGTCCCAACAGCACCCCACAGCTGCTGGAACCCAGAGTCCTGCACTGCTGATGCTGAGTCCTGGTAGTGCATCTCCCAGTGCCAGGACCCAGCTGTGTGAAGCCCCTGGGGCTGAGAGAACACAGCAGCTAGGTCTCCCAGCCGCAGAGGTGTATGGACTATGCCTATGGCTCAACTGAGGGGGCTTCCAAACTTGGGAGAATGCTTCTTGCTGGTGCAGGGGAGCCTAGGATCAGGCTTCCCCTGCACCAGCAATAAGGCACAATTGGGTCTAATGCGTGATCCCACCACAATCACACCTCCTGCTATGAATGTGTGGTATGGCAGGAAGCACGATTGTTTTGATCATGCATTAAATCCCATCCCACCTTTACCTACACATAGAGAGGGACACTAAGAAAGATGGCAATAGCTACGAAAGTGGAAAACTGTGGAATAACCAGCCCATGGCAGAAGCTGATTATCACCTAGAGGCTGGGTTATACTCTGAAACATTAGTTTTCCTTTTTCTTTTCATACCTAACTTAACAGTGGTTGTTCTTGTTATCCATACACATATCTAACTCTCTCTTTTTTTAAATCAGGTTAAGTTCATTATCACTAGTACCTAGTGGCTCTCACTTCAGCAAATTGTTTATGCAATATGGGTTATTAGAGCACCCCCCCAATGCATACGTAGTAAAGAAAGTAGCAGACAGAGAACAAGCACCATGTTTTCACAACATCAAGTGCTATGTTTTAGAAGAGTAGTACAGTATATGTTAATATAGTTATGGGGAGTGAAAAATAAAAGTCAAGCGGAAAATTCTTTAAGTTCTTGATATAATTCAGCATTTCCAGGTGGATGTCTCAAAAAATTATTATGCTTCCTCCAGAAATAAGTATGAAAAACATGATCACATTTCCCTTGCTGACACCAACAGAAGGAGATTATTCCAGCATGCTGGGTCAGTTGCATAGTTTTTCCTTCACTTGTTGTTGCTCTCTGTTCTCTGCAGAATATTGTCATCACATTATCACTGAAATAACACTGTACCTGACACTAGTAAAAATATTTTCAGATCTTGGCAAACATGTTACATTTTCTAAACTGCAAACAAGCAGCATGAAGCAAAAGTATCTGCTCAGAAAGCCCTCACAAGCTAGTCAAATCCATTGCTTTGAAAGACCACGATCTCTTAAAATAGCATGTACTGTAGTAGAGAAGGCAGGGTTGGAAAACTGTTTGGGGTTTTAATAGACTGAAACTGAATTAAAGTTTCTCCAGACATAGGGCCTGATTTTAATTCCCACTGAATTCAGTAGCTAGCTATAGCCCATGGGGTTAGGAGCAAAATAAACACAGAAAAGCTATAGACAAAGGTTATAATTGACAGGTTAATATTAACAGTCAGCGTGCAAGTAGCTGCTGTTGACAATTCTAATGCCTTCTTTTGACAACAGTTTTATCCATTTCTTTCTTTTTTTTCATTGTAGGCTTTCCAGAAGCTGGCTGAGCTTATAAGAGAAAACATATGAAATGTTAGAACAAAGGCCTCTGGAAAAAAAATGATTGTTAGAAACCTGCATTTATTGACATTTAGAAAGGGTATATCTAATTTCCCCGGCCAGCATAAAAAGAAATCTTTCCCTTAAATCAATAATGGCACAGATATTAGTCTTGCTGTGCAAATTGTGATATTTCCCATTAGCTGTCATGATACCCAACAATAAATTCCTAATAATAAGAAGACTACTTATCAGGTTTCTATACAACAGATTGAGTTCTCAGAATACTATGTAACCTATAGTTTCTTTATACGGTCTCTCTCTCTGGTCTTGCAGGCCTCTGAGGCCCATAACCATCTTAGCCACCTTCCACTTGTTTGCATCTTTGCCTGTTTCTTCCAGATCAGTTTTTATATTATCTCCCACCATTGGCTAGGTATACCTTGAGGTCTGATACCCTCCATCGAAGCTTCCAAAACCTGCCTTCCCTCATTGGTCCTCACTATACGCCCTACCCATTTTTTTCTCTGCACTCTTATCTTGCTCAAGACCTGATGGCTAGTACAGACCATCAAAAAGCCCAAGGCTGAATCAATTCAGTATTCACAGGTTAGCCTAAGATGAGTAGATTAACAGATAAGTAAGGGACCAGTCATTCACTTTTGATTCTGGAAATGCAGCCATATGCCTGCAGTGGCCCAGTCCAGAAGCTGGGGGGTGCTAGAGCATGTCCCCCTGCTCATCACCTTGGGCCCAAGCTAGCCTGCCCACCCTGTGCAGGTGAATGGATTTTTGCAGAGGAAGTCCAAAGCATCCTGGGATGCTGAGAGACTGAGTTCACTTGAATCTGTAGGGGATCTAGGACAGAAGTTCAATACACTAATGTACCCTACTGTATTTCACAGTGTGTAAGTCAAGTTTTGATGCCCAACTTTTAACTCTTAAAAATTCAGCCTTGACTTATAACATATACACCTCAACTTATACACTATCCCATGTGAGTGGCGCTGGGCTCAGCACTTGGCTGGTGCAGCCCAGGCAATGCCACTTGCAGGAGATGGGGGCATGCCAGCCAAGCACAAAGCCTGGCCCTGTCTGCTGCAAGTGGTGCTGCCAAGCACTGACCTCCATCCCCATCCCCTGCAAGCGGTGCCAGGCTCAGCACTCAGCTGGTCCAGCCGGGCTCAATGTTCAGCAGTGCTGCTTGCAGCAGACAGGGCCAACGCAGCACTCAGCTGGCACAGCCCAGGCAGCACCACTCGTAGGGGATAGGAGCACCAGACAAGTGCCAAGTCAAACACCACTCACAGGGATGGGGACAGGGCTGGTCTTGGCACTCCACTGGTGCAGCCCCTTATTCTGCAAGCAGCACTGCCTGGGCCATGCCAGCTGAGTGCTGAGCCCAGCCCTGTCTACTGTAAAACCACTGTAAGACCAGTCTAACTTCAGCCTGTGGGGATATCATCAGAGAATGGCCACCTGTGTGATGCGTATGCGTGACTCACCAACTTGTGACAAAAGGCTTTCATCACATTCCCAGCAATGCTACCCAAGCTCTTGTGACTTCTGCTTCTTAAACGTGTTAGGCCTAGCACATCTTTCTAGTACTGCGTCACTGCTCAAATAGTTCAATAGCCTCTTTGATCCTCATGCATCATTGCTGTCTATCTGCAGCCAGCAATTCCCATTAGTCTGTTACTGTCCTGCTTTGAACAATGTGGAACTTCATTTGTGCTTTTATATCTGGCCGCACTTTCACAGATTGCATTTCATTTCTCCATACAGCAGGTGCTTAGCTATATCCTTTTGAGCAATATAGCCAGCCCAATAGGGCTATGGATTCATTATCGATGTTTCAACACTGATTTATTGCAGCAACTCTAGACAAGATCCTCAATCAAACCCTCTGACCCTCAGAAGGGAATCTACGAAACACAAGTGGACTTCAATTCAGGCATGAAAATGAGTTGTTTAAGGAGGTATACCAGGTAAGGGTGAGAGTTAGAATTTACAAGTTCTTGATGTTCTACCCTGGGGGTCTTCAAAAGGAGGCCAGATAAGCACCTAGCTGAGGTCATTTGACCCCAGCACTCTTTCCTGCCCATGGCAGGGGGTTGGACTTGATGATCTGCTCAGGACCCTTCCGACCCTACCAACTATGAAACTACCCCCCGAATCTGACAACAAGAAAAATGATGCTTTTTCATAGATTTAATAGACATTAGGGCTGGAAGGGACCTTGGAAGATCACTGAGTCCAGTCCCCTGCCCCAGGGGCAGGAAGTCAGCTGGGGTCAAAGGATCCCAGCAAGATAAACATCCAAATGTCTCTTAAAGGAGTCCAGAGTAGGTGCTTGCACCACTTCTGGTGGTAGTCTGTTCCAGTCCTTCAGGGCTCCGACAGTAAAGTTCTTCCTTATGTCCAGCCTGAAATGGTCTTGGAGGAGTTTGTCATGACCTTGTCATCCCTTGGGGTGAACAGGCATTCCCCCAGATCCTGTACACCCCTTGTATACTTATAGGCAGCTACCAGGTCCCCCCTGAGCCTGTGTTTTTCCAGGCTGAAGAGTCCCATAGCTCTCAGCCTGTCATCATAAGGTCTGTTTTCCTGCCCTCTGATCATGCACGTGGTTCTTCTCTGGACTCTCTCAAGTTTCTCCACATCCTTTTTAAATTGTGGAGCACCCAGAATTGAATTGCGGCCTCACCAAGGCCAAGTACAGAGGGAGGATGACATCCTGGGATTTGCTTGAGAAGCATCTATAGATGCAAGCCAAAGTTTTGTTCACTTTACCAGCTGCAACATCACACTGGTGGCTCATATTCATCTTGTGGTCAATCATGACCCCCAAGTCCTTTTTGGCTGTGGTGCTAGCAAGCGTAGCACTGCCAAGCCTATAAGCACACTGTGGGTTTTTCTTCCCAAGGTGGAGTACCTTGCATTTTTCGTTGTTGAACACCATCAGATTTTCATCCTCCAATTTTCTGATCCTGTAAAGGTTGGCCTGGATCACCATCCTGTCCTTGGGTATGGACACTTTACCCCAAAGTTTGGTGTCATCAGCGAACTTGGCCAGTCTGCTTCTGATACCAATGTCCACATCATTAATGAAGAT